CTTCCTCCCCCTCTTCTGACCTCTCCCTTGCTCGACCTCTTCCGCCCCCTCACACAACGCCCTCCTAATCCTTGTGCGACCTCCTCCTCCTCACTCGTCCTCCACCCACCTCCTCATCCCACTCGCACGACCTCCTCCTCCTCACTCGTCCTCCACCCACCTCCTCATCCCACTCGCACGACCTCCTCCTCCTTGTCGCGATGTCTGCTTCCCCCTCGCATGACCTCCTCCCACCTCTCTTCCGACCTCCTCCTCCTCCTTGTCGCGACATCCGCTTCCCCCCCGCACAACCTCCTCCTCCTTGTGCGGCCTCCTCCTCCCCCTCGTTCCGACCTCCTCCTCCCCCTTGGGCGATGTCCTCCTCCCCCTGGCAACCTCCTCCCTACATCCTCTCCCCTCCTCCATGAATTCTCGTCGTCTGCCATGCTTATCGTCCTCCTCCTTTTCGTCCCTCTTTCTCCTTTTGTTCCATCCTCCTCCTCTTTCCTCCATTCTCGTCGTCCCCTCGCTCCTCCTCTTTTTCGTTGTTCCTCCTCGTCCTCGCTGCTCCTCATGCTGCCTCCTTTGTTTCGATCGGCCCAAACATCCTTCTCCCTCTTCATCCTCCCTCTTTCTCCCACCCTTCCTGCTCTGAGCGCACACGTGCCACATGCCTCAAATGTCTTTCTCTCTCTTCCTCCTCCCTCCTCCTGTGTTGATCCTCCCTCCTCCATCACATCTTTCCATCACCGCCCTTTTCCATATCGACGAGGCCCCCGCCCGGCACCACGGACTGGCAGGAAACAGAACTGAATGGGGGGGTTGAAAGAAAAACCGTGGCAGCGGGGAATGGGAGTTTGTGTCCTCCCGACACTGCAGAGCGGGGCATGTCGCGTGGAACCGCCACACCGAATTTCCCTCACTCCCGCCCGCAGTCCCGCTATGAAACGCCACGGCTGATTTACCTTGCCCCAGTCCCGCCCGCCTCCACACCGAATTTTGCGGTGCCCACACGCTGGGCCCTTTGCATTCTTTAAGAGTATAGGGACAAGGTACGTACCTTGTATTCGAATACAAGGTACCCCGTACCTTGTTTTCGGGTTAAGATGGTAATGCCATAGCTGTAGTGGGTGGGTAGTAGAGTCTCGTATCCTTTGTCCCTGTTTTCCCTTTTTTTAAAGGGCGACGGCCTTGAGGTATCGTCATCGAGTTGAGCAGCCCCAGGTAATTTATGAAACGGACAAAAAAGTTGAAGGCGTTCCCTAATGTAATTGGTAGAGGCAACTCCGTTGCACTTAGGATCACCTGTATTAAGGGTCTTCGTTTTACATGATCAGTATGATTCACATCTAGATCAATCAGCATTCGACCTTGGGTCGGTATTTCAACAGTTCATGGGTGTACCAATTGAGCTAGGCTCATTGGTATAGTGTGCTCTTTTCGTTCACCCTTTCCCCCCAGATTGCCTCTGGAGAGGATACTTACTGTCAGGGGCAGGCTGTGGTGATGCTACATTCATTGTTGGACGCATGAAACTAGTTGAGAAAATGGCCAGGTTCATGCTTTCATCGCATGGGGGCCCTGCCCATTGATTCTGCTTCACATACTTCTGGTGATCATCTCTGTGACCCTCTAGTGTGACACTGTGACTGTCTTTTATGTGGGTCATTATCTAGTGTCTGATTGATTATCTAGTGCCATTCTGCTTGTTATGTAAGGCCCAGGCACCACTGGTGCTACATTCATGGTCATAAAGCACGAACACGCAGGTCCATGCTTGCCAAACCTGAACATAGCACCAGTGCTGCCGGACCCTGATTGTCTCTTATGATAATCTAGCATATCATTCTTATGCGTCCCCTAACTGGTGCTATGTTCATACTAACAAAACACGGACATGACCATGATTGATACTAACAAAACATGATTCATACTAACAAAACACGAACATGAGCATGACCATGATTCATACTAACAAAACACGAACATGACCATGACCATGATTCATACTAACGAAACACGAACATGAACCCACTGGTGCTATGTTCATACTAACAAAACACGAACATGACCATGATTCTTACCAGGTTAATGCTTTCCCACCACGAACATAGCAACCGTGCTGCCTAAACGTAATTGCCTCTTGTTATGATCTAGTGTTTGTTCTTCTTCTCTTTCTGAGGATTGACATCGGAATGATGTTTGCAATCAGGTGCATGGTGGCATGCTAACAAAGCACGAACAATGCATCGAGCATAACCATGATTAGGACCAGGTTCATGCTTGGAATGAACATAGCACCAGTGTCGGCTGAACATTATTGTCTCTTGTGATGATCTTGTATATCATTCTTCCTCCTCTTTCTGACTGGTGTTTGCAATCGAGTCCATGGTGGCATGCTCACAAAGCACGAACATGACTGTGATCACGACCAGGTTCATGCTTTCCGAGCTTGAACATAGCGCCTGCCGTGCCTGAACCTAATCGTTTGTCGCTATCCTCTACTGTATTATTCTTCATCCCCTCTTTCTGAGCACTGGTACCTGGATGGTATTTGCAATAAAGATCCTCACATGATGCATGGGGTGCATGGTGGCATGTATGGGGGGCGGGTTCTTGCATTTGGTCAATCATGCCAGAAGTCTCAGGTTCGAATCCCGTTTTTCCCGTGAGGTATGGCTGAGTGGCTAAAGGGAGTGGTTTGCTACATGGGTTCCTGTGCAACCTTTTCTTGTGCACTGGAGCAGAGGTGCATGGCGAATCACTCCACTTCGACTACCGTCCTCCCCCAAATAGAATGTCCGGTCATTACCGCTGCCTCTAGAATGAAATTTGCCCCAAATACAACTATAATGGCCTTACGAGGCTGACATCCTGTTCGGGAGAAGACGGTCAAGTGGTGGTCGTGCACAAACGTCCTGAGTCTCCCTTATATGCATGCAAGGTGACAAGCACCCACCCACCCACCCATCCACCTACCCATGCAGATTGCCAAGTTCCCTGTACGAGGTTTTGTTCTTTGTTTAAAAGTTTTAAACGTTCGGAACAGTGGGCAGAATCTCAACAGATCGTGACGACAAGGCCACTCTACTGCTTACAACACCCCGTTCGCCGAAAATTTTGAACCATTTCTCCATTTGTGTGCATCGGCCTTCTGCAGCGGCCATGCTAGTCTTCTCTGTATGGTTCCAATTTTAATGGATGTGCAAGGAAAGTCAGGAAAATGATCAAGTGTAGTAGCTGTTTTGATCAGCTTAAACCACCAGTACCTTTCCCCGCTTGGGATCGGGGGCGCGGTTATTAACACGGAGGTCCGATTCGGCCTCGGACGCCGACCACATCCATCCGCCGCACTTGGCGCGCAGTGCCCGCGGCCGATATATGAGAAAGGTACTGGCGGTTTAATATCTGATCTGCGGTCCATCGGACCCGTTTTGCTGTGGTCCAGAGTTTTGCACAGGTTCGAACTGAGGTTTCTGAGATTTCTTGGATGAGGGCTTGTTTATGGCAAATCTTTTCTTTTCCTTGTCATTTTTTGTTTTTGAGCGATTTGCAAGGAATATGAGCGAGAGCGATAGACAGAAACCCAAGTTGAAAAATCACGAAGTAGTCCAGATAGTCATGTACCAAGCAGAAAGCACAATGCACAATGCACCAAGATTCCATCCACATAAGAGCAATACAAAGAACTCAAGTGCCAATGCCGACACTCCTGGTCACATCAACACTGTATCCAATGTCGCCCCTACTGTCTGGCGCTCAGCGCCCAGCCTACTCTACTCAGCCTTTCTAGCCTATCTACGTTCAGGCGACCGGATCACACCAAGTCGCAGACCAATGTACGTGACGTCAACACCAATGCCGATCACCAGCATACACGAGGTACGTTCTCTCTCCTCCCCTCATCACCCCTTGATCACCTCCTCATGCCCCTCCTACCCAAAGATCACCATCGCCATCACCTGCATTGCACCCCTGCAGTCTGGCTATGGCTGCTGTGCGCCCGCTGCCTCACAGCGCCCCTCTCACCTCAGCGCCCGTGCGCGTGCCCGACCCGCAGCACCCATGCAGACACTAGCGCAGCAACGCAGCAGTGTGCCCGCATTGCCTGCCAAGGCCAGACTGCCCCTCCCAGGGGATCACACTTTCGTTTATGGGAAGTGTGGCGCTGCTGGTTGTCCTGGCCAGGCATGTGGGGGCCCAGTAGCTTCAGTTGGGCCCTGGGTGTCTGCGCCCAGGCCCAGTTTCCGAAACTGGACTGGGCATCGTGCACTTAGGCACTTCCAGGCAGCCACCCAGCCTCCAAGTGTTTGCAGCATTCTCATTGGCTCACGACAAATGTGTGACGCCAATGCTGCTTCCTCATTGGCCCATAACCAGTCCGTGATGTGTCGGCCTCACACAGCGTATGCCCAGGGCTCAACTGTACAGCGCAGCCCTTTGCCTCTGGGAAGAGCCTGGACGCTCACGTTGCTCTGTAACCAACTGGCGTGCTGCAACTGTCTGAGTATCCACATATGGAAAAGTTGCCGAGAACAGGCCTCATGTGGATATTCAGGCCCGCCTTCACTTAGGGCGGGCACGGGGCTTGCTGGGGGCCACAGCCCAGAACACTTGTATGTCTGATAAAGGCTCAGCGAGGCTCATTCCTCGCAGATTGAACTGTATGTCTATAGGACTCTATACCCATGACTTTGGGGTTGGCCAAGTGTTTGGTGTACTCATCTCCCCGTGGGTGCTTTGATCTGGGCCTCAAGGAAGAGGACAAATTCGTAAGTTCCACTCAGGTGCTATGAACTCGGAGGGTAGAGTGGTAACAGTTAGGTTTTCGTGGGGGCAAATTTGCAAATTTTGAAATTTCATAGTTTCTGGACCGGGTTGCTTACCTGAGGGCAGTGACTGGATTTGAGCTCCTTAGGGG